CCCCAAAACCCCAAAACCCCAAAACCCCAAAACCCCAATGTTAGGTTTTAATATTGTAAATATTAAGGAAGAAATGAAAAGTTGTGGAAATTTAAACACAAGTCCATTTTCAAGAGTAAGTGCTCTCCCAAAGGTCTATAAAGAAGATTTTATGTAAAAATAATACCGTGAAGTTTTGAACTGGCCAAATGTCAGGCTTTATTAATAATTTACTGAATCCTACCATTCCTTCTTCTAAGTTCAAAAGGAGTTACTTAGACTTATAGAATATTAGGAATAGAAATCAAACACAGAAATGATTACCAAACCAGTGTGACAACTGAATTCAAGCTCTCAGGCAGATCATTGCTTGAGACAACTGATTCTCTACTCTTGGAAATAACTTAGTGAAGGTGCTAATGTCTCAGCTGAGCCGCTCGGTTGACCCCTGAAATTTACCTAAGATGAGAAAGAATTCAGATTCAGAGTACAATCCTACTCAGTCTACTTTAGACCATATCCCAGCCCACCAGATGAAAAATTCTTCCAATAATCAAATTGACTGAAACATTTTTCGTCAAGAAAATCCGCTATATTATCAAAAAATTGCTCCTAAGCATTCAAAAATGCCTCATAAAGCCTCCCTAAGCCAAGCCTTGTGCTATAAAAGAGAGTCAAACAAGCTTAAGCTCGCTAAACTTGACAAAAACCTGGTAGAAGAGAAACTTGAAATACCCACTGTAGATAAGTATGAAACTCTTAAAGTTATTCCTTGCCCATTTGGAAATTCTGAAATCCTTGACATTGATCGGTCTTTCGAGTCTAGTGATTATTTCAGTGAGAAAACTCCTGATCTTCTCCCGACAAAGAGTCTAAATATTGATCCGGAGAAAATTCATAGAGCGAAGAAAAATTCATCCTTCGGGAAGCGCAAAAATAAGATAAAAGTTATATATCAAACAACAAAGAAGCATGCCAAAAAGTGAGTCTTTTTGAGTTTACTCAAGCTATAATTATAAAGAAATTGCATCTTACTAAAGTATCAATTTTTAAGTATTTTACTATATATGAAAAACTTCAAAAAGAAAGTGTCCCTAGCTCTTCAATGCTTGAGTAACCTCACATGTAACCCTGTAATAGACGGGTTACTAGAATTAAACCCGGTTGGGACTGTTTGGCTTACTGTTATCTTGGTGCTCTTGCTAAGCTCAGAACCCTACTTAGATAATCCCAACTGAGCAATAACTTTGTTTCATAATGAGCCTTCAATCGTTTCCAGATAAAAGTTCTTAATAATTTATTCACCCTAATACTGATTCTAGATCTTCATTATCTAAGAAGCAAGCTATTAGGAAATCTATTGGGCTCCTCAAACAAGGCTTGATGAAGAAGTTACTGGCCATCTCGGATGAACCAGCAGACAGTCAGAAGAGCTTGCTGGTGCTAGAAAATAAATCTAAGAAGAAAATTGGTATAAGCGTTATAGCAAGAAAAACTGTCGAGATTAGAGATGCTTTGGAACTCAAGAAAAATGAGGTAGGCTCTTAATAGCTCAGGTTTAGCCCCAGAAGGATAGTCTTCAAGAAAGACAACGTGATGATAGGATGATTAGTATTGATACTTCTAAAGATAGAGACTCTAGTTCCGTTTCAGAAGATTAAATACCGAAAAAACTACACATCCAATGATGTTATTTAAAAAATTCTCTGAATTCTTTGTTTTCAAACTCTCTTGTGTTGAGTTCAGCTCAAAGTTACTCCGTTTCATGGGGTTATAAAACTATTTAACGTAGCTTTCAATATTTATGTTGTAAACCGGGGTTTTGGGGTTTTGGGGTTTTGGGG